AAAAGGCAAATTCTCGCTTATACGCATTGCGTCTGTTAAAAAAGGCTGGTCTCCAAGCATCTGACATCGTCCAAATATATATCTCATTCATCAGATCCAGAATTGAATATGCATCCCCTGTATGGTCGTCAGTACCTAAATCATTATCTGACATTCTCGAATCTGTTCAAAAGAGAGCATTGAGAATAGCTTATCCAGATCTGTTATATGATGAAGCCCTTGAAATTTCAAACTTACAGTATCTGAGTACTCGTAGAGACATCTCTTGCAAGAAATTCGTCGAATCTCTGCGACGTGATGTTTCACCCTACAACCCTTTGACCCAAATTATGGAAATTCGTCCCGGGGTAAAATCTCATGACTATGACTTAAGGAATGACAGAACGGCCGAACAACCTTTATGGTCAGAAACCACTGAACGGTTAAAAAACTTCGTGACTAGGAAATATTATTAGCTTTATAGTTAATTAACAGTCCCAACTAAATAAACATTATTTTATATAATATATATATATGTACATTTTAATATAAATTTTTATGCTATATTAGTACTCCATGTAATTCAGTTTTCCTTTAAAAACTGCAAATTGGTTTTAATTAAACAGATTGATTGATTGATTGATTGATTGATTGATATATATATGTGTGTGTGACAAATGCCAGTACTCTGCTCAGCCGACAAGACTTCATATATATAACAAACAGAACGGCTACGTTTGAAGAAGTTTATTAAAAAAAGTTATATTAGATACAAAAACTAAATTTTCGACTGCATGCCACAGCCTTCTTCGGAGTCTGTGGCATGCAGTCGAAAATTTAGTTTTTGTATCTAATATAACATTTTTAATAAACTTCTTCAAACGTAGCCGTTCTGTTTGTTATATATATTATATATATATATATATATATATATATATATATATATATATATATATATATATATATATATATATATATATATATATATATATATATATGTATATATATATGTATATATGTATATATATATATATGTATATATGTATATATGTATATATATATATATAAATTAAGGTACAACAATCAACAAAATCCACTAGGCATCTTTATTACTAAATAGTTTCGTACCACAAAATGTGGCACTCTTCAGATAAATTGACCTAATGACTATAGATTAAAAGTTACAAGGTTATATATGTATACAAGGAGTTTGACTAATGGTCGCGGGTCGCGTGTCGCGGGTAAAAAGTCGCGTGTCGCGGGTAGAATGTCGCGAGTCGCGGGTAAAAAGTCGCGGGTCTTAAAAAGCTCCAAACCGTGTATTTTATTGAGTCGCGGGTTGAATAAAGTGTGTAAAAATCACGTTATCATTTAGTAAACAACTATATAGGATTGCTTCAATACGAAATATTGCCCAAGAGCCTTTTGTCTTGATTGAATGAGTTTGATTAATGGTCGCGTGTCGCGGGTAAAAAGTCGCGTGTCGCATGTAGAATGTCGCGGGTAAAATGTCGCGGGTAAAAAGTCGCGGGTCGTAAAAAAGCTCCAAACTGTGTATTTTATTGAGCCGCGGGTTGAATAAAGTGTGTAAAAATCACGTTATCATTTAGTAAACAACCATATAGGATTGTTTCAATACGAAATATTGCCCAAGAGCCTTTTGTCATGATTTAATGGTTCTATATAAACGTGCCAGAAGCCTAAAACTTGAAAGAATAATTTCAATATGTTAAACCAACAATTATACCATGACAAAAATCCTCTAATCAAAAAAATATGTTCTGAAAGAAACAAACAAGACTTTGGTAGAAATAAATTCAGTTTACCACTACTATTACAATCAGTTTTATACCAATTTAAAAACAACCATATAGTATCACAAATAATAGATATATCCATGCTAGGACATTATACTGAAAGTACATTATGATTCACCAACAACCCGGATATTTAAGTCGCTGTTCTCTAGCACTTGTTTCTGGAAAGTACTGATCGATGCGCAGAGCAGTTGACGACAACGCGCACTGAGCCACTGAATAGCGGATTTTTACGCCTGATATGGTAAGAAATTGGATTGTAATATGTATTACTAAAATCAAGACTATAAACATAGGAATGTGTAACAGGATCCTTTTGCACTACCGTCTATCAACGTGCTTTACAATAATGTTATATGGTTCTTGTCTATATTTATCTAGAAACTCGCAATTGCAGCCATAACATCTTCGAACAACTATTGATAAAAACCGTTAAATAACTAAATGTTAATGTGATTTTTACACACTTTATTCAACCCGCGACTCAATAAAATACACGGTTTAGAGCTTTTTTACGACCCGCGACTTTTTACCCGCGACTTTTTACCCGCGACCCGCGACATTTTACCCGCGACTTCTTACCCGCGACACGCGACCCGCGACCATTAGTCAAACTCGTATACAAGTGGATGAGACTTTAAAAAACTTAATCCTATTTACAAACCACGCGATTTAATTAACATGTTATGTGATAAGCTGACAGGACGCGGAAAGATTAACACACCGCGGCATATTTAAATGTCTAGCTTTTTAAATGTTACTTAAAAGGAATTTTTTATTATGCCTACATGCAGACACTAACTCATTTCGTTTGTTTAAAGTGGCCATTTTTGGCTTACAAATAATAAAGTATTTCTCCCATAAACATAAATTACACCGATTTGAAGCACAGTTATAAGGCTTAGCTTGTTTCAATAGTTTCCATTTGATTGTATAATTGATGTTTTTGTTTTTCAATTCCCACACGTATTTGCTTAGTTCGGTAGCGTTCCGTTTGTCGAAAGAGTTGAATGATGCTTTATGGTTTGCAAGTCTAGTTTTAAACGAGTTTTCTGTAAGTCCGACATATGTTTGGGGAGGTCTATTTGTTGTTTTGTCCTTAGTAGTGACTGTGGCTTGATATACAACCGATTCATTGGTACATTTGTTAGATAGTGGGCACAGTTCTTTATTGCTTTTAGGGCAACTACACATGTTAAGACCACTAGTGCTGGAAATTGTAGCCAACGTAGATTTGTTGTGTCCATCGATAGTCTGCTTGATGTTTGGCATACAGCTGTAGCTAATCTTGACTGTATTACGGTTGAATATCTTGTGTAGTGGGTGATCTGCGGGGAATTCCTCGTCAATTATTTTCAAGAAGGTTTGTCCAACATTAGTCGAAACATTCTTACTATATGGTGGGTTATACCATATAATTTTTCTTTTACGGCTTCGGGTACTCTTGTTATTCGATTGGTTTAGGGGGTGTTTAAACAGTAGTTTGTGGGTATAACCACTTTTGTCAAGGGCTTGCTGATATGACGGGGAGGCTTGTTCGAATGAATCTTGATCAGAGGATATCTCGGTTAGTCGTTTGTTAATGGATAATGGAATATTACGCAGAACA